ACGACATGGGGAGGTGAGCAGGGGCTGGCAGCACCACCCTCCCCTGCCATGGCCGCAGTTTGGGACTGTGCCCACCCCAGCCCCACTGTCCCCACCTACCCACAGGCCTGCCCTCGGGGCCCAGGATGGCCATGTGGGGCCGGATGGGGGGTCCCACTGATGTCAGCCCCACACGCTTGCGCCTTGGCTTCTCCTTCACTTGTGCCATGATGACTGCAGCACCGGGGAAGTCCATGGCCGCGCGCCGGCGCTTCCCTGCGGGGCAAGATGGGTGAGGGTTGGTGATGCCTGACTGGTCCCCTTGTACTCCCATTGGGAACACCTTGCCTCTCTGCCCAACCCGAGGAGGAGGTGTATGTGGCCCTGACATACCCAAGGTCCACATCAGCCCAGCCTCAGCAGGGGTGATGGTCTCATCGATGTCATTGCCGTAGAGGCAGAGCCCGGCCTCCAGGCGCAGGCTGTCTCTGGCTGCCAGCCCTGCCAGCCACACGTTGGGGACATCCAGCAGCCGCTCGGCCAGCTCCACCGCCCGCCCTGAAGGCACCGAGATCTGCGGGGGCACATGGGCAGGGTCAGTGGGGCACGGCCTTCCCCTCCCTGGGTACAGTGGTGGGGGTGCTGGCACAGCTCCCAGGGTACCTCCACACCATCCTCGCCGGTGTAGCCGCAGCGCGTGACCCGGCAGCCCGGCACGCCAAAGACAGTTGTGGAGATGCTATTCATGAAGGAGAGCTTGGCCAGGTCATCCAACAGCCCCGCTTGCAGCACCCGCACCATGGAGGGACCTGGGGAGGTTGGTGGCTGGGAGATGGCAGTGCCCGGGGAAGGGGGGGAATGTGGGGAGGGCACTGACATCCACTGGGCAAGGACCCAGAGGAGGGCAGGCCCATGTGGGGACCCTGCTACCTTGCAGAGCCAGCAGCGCGTTGTCTGACACCTCCAGGTGGACGTCACTGCCAGTGGCCTGTAGCTCCTCTGCTCTGTCCTGCCAGGGTGACAGCGGGCTGCTAGCACAGGGGCAGGGCCAGGCCAGTGGCAGCCCCAGAAGTGGCCACAGCCACCTCACCCTGCGCAGCCAGGGCTGTCACCAAAAGGTGGCCGGACTCATTCCCACTGCGTGTCCCCACCGCCCGCGGGGCTCGGGCAGCCCCATACCCTGAAGATGGCCGAGTCCTTGTCAGCACAGCCGGCGTTGGACACCACATACAGGTGATCTTCCCACGTGTTGATGACTATGAGGTCGTCCGTGATGCCGCCCTTCTCGTTGGTGAGCAGTGTCAGGGTGCCCTGTGGGATGCGGCCCTTGGGAGCATGGGCAGGCTGTCTGGTCCCTCCCAGGGCATCCCGGGGACCTCTGACCCCGCTGGATGCCCAGTGCCTGCCCGGTGCCCCGTACCTGTCCGGGCTTCAGCTCGGCG